CGAGCGTATCACGTACCAAAAATGAAGATATACCAATATTTCTGTATTTTCGATACGATAAGTGTGGTATACCGATTTTTCGGTATTTTTGCCCACACTTAGTTGGGACAGTGTAGAAAGTAGTTGTTTCTTTTGAAAGGTAAAACCATTTTCATCAATGTGTATGTAATAAAAGAAGTCATGAAAAGTAGGCCTTGTTGGTAGGGAATGTGGAGTTATATGACTCAAACAATATTCTAACCTTTTTAACTTTCCAACATCTGTGAGGAGTGGCTTGATAGCACTAGAATGCCTTTTGATTTCCTTTCTTTTGTACCACCTACAGACTGTCGTAGGTTGACACTTTCATAGCATAGCCCAATGCTCTCATATTTTTCTTAGATGCAATGGTATGTCTTTCATTTTCTGATTGTTTAAGACAATCTTTTTTCTGCCACAATTACCTTTTCAGTTACTTTGCACGTTTATGACTACACCTTCTTGCATATGTTGTTTTGCTTTCTTCCACAACCTGTGAACTGTTTCTCTGTTGACTTTGAACTCGTTGCCTATGTTACTAATAACACCCCTCTTAAGTTTCCCTTCACTAGGCATGCGTAACAACTTCGCTATTATGTGCATTCTTTGTTGTTCTGTTAGTTTAGGCCTGAGATGTTGTGATGTTTCTCCTTCTCCTTAACTTTGTGTGTGAAACGTGCTTGCAGGTGAAAAGGGGACGAGTTGATTGTCTAGTGCCTGTTCTGGATTGGAGGGAAGCTCAGCTTCTTCCATTGATGGATGTTTGTGTATCTTCTTTTCTTTGTAATGGACTTTATATATAGGAGTAGACTTGATGTAATTTTTGGAGGGATTTGCGAGGTTTACATAAATTTAGAACCATGTAAACTCAATTTGGGAGGGAAAACCGTATGTGGCCAATAAAGATCTATTGTCATGTAATGTAGCAGAAAGGATGATTCTATAGTACATGGCTTCATTCCTTTTGCTCCTGGCCTCACTTTTGTTATTTATTTTTACCGTAGGAGTGTTTAGTTATTACCCTTGTGTTAGTAAGGGTATATAAGGAAAGTCAAGGACTAAAATCTTACTCCCTTAAAATGCCAAAAGTCAAACTGTGACTTTCATTGCGAAACGGAGGGAGTATTAAAATCACTAATAAGGTCAATTACAACATACTAATAATAACTTATATCATACTACCTCAGTAACGTTGAGATCCTTCCACTTTAGAAGTGGGCGAGATTATGAATAGTGAAAATAGATATATAAATCATTGAGGGTATGATGAGAAGATAACGCAAAAGTGTGATGGAATGAAGAATAAATCCAAAAAAGTAAGTGTAATAGTGTATTGTTTTTAAAATTATTGAGAGTATGATAAGAAGATATATAAATGAAAAGATTATTCAGCTACGGTTGAAAAAGGAAAGCGAGAAGATCTTTACGTTACGGAGGTAATATTCAATATGAAATATGAAAAATACATTCTTCTAAAATATCTTAAACAACATAGATATAAATAAAATAACAAGGATCTTCAACAAAAGAATACAAATAATCCAAGCAACATGGCTATAAAGCTGTTTACACTTATACTAATATTGTGTTTCAAGTCATTTTTATATTCATACCGATTATTTTCAAAATATACTCAGTATATCGATATCATACCGAAGAAATTGGGTACATACAATACCGATTTTTTTTTCTCAAAAGAATCACGCAATCACATTTTAGACCAATCATCTCAAAATGGTAATTCATCTTCATTTTCCACCCATACAATGTATTTCAAAAACCAAACACGCCTTCAGATTTCGGTGTTTATGTTCACAAGCTGGAAATTCAATTAATCTCACCACATTAATGCTCACTTTATTCGGAAAAATCTAAGGAGGAAAAGCGCAATTAATACTTACAATGAGATCGATTAATTTCCCTTTTTTAATTTAATCAAGAAAACCTGTTTGTTGAAACACAGCGTTGCGAACCCGGCGTAAATCTCTTCCCTTGAGGGTTCTTCCCACTCCTTCAAAGACGGACAGTGTCACGTGCGCCCTGGCAACCATCACGTGAGGGGGCACCATTTCGTCGTCGTCTTCGTCGTTCTCCGCCTCGTCGAACCGGTCCAACGCCTCGAACCCGACAGTCTGGTGCTTCGGCCAAACCGGCACGTTCATCGGGGCCGATTTGTGGAATTTCGCGCCGGCGTTCGGATTCGATCTGGATTTCGCCTGGGGGATTATCCTGGCGGCGGGATTGAGGGAGGATTTGCGGCGGACGAGGTGGTGGTCGTCGTTGAGGGCGTCGGAGAGGCCGGGGATCGACGGGTTGAAGTGTCTGCGCGGCCGATTCGGGGGCGCCGGAGAGGAAGGAGGGATTCCGGCGGCGGAAGAGGAGGAGCCGAAGAGCTCGTCCTCGTCGAGCTCGAGATTGTCGGATTCCGGCTGTTTGAGAATCCCGAGTAAGCGGAGGGACGACGGGGAAGCCATGGGCGCTATCAACATGCCTCGTGTCATGGTGATGGAGAAGGGATGGCTTTAATTTCTATTTTTTTTTTTTACTTTATCGATTTGTTTATTAAGGAAATTATTGAATCGATAAATACGATATATTTTAATGCAGTAAATGATTGGAATCCAGATTACATCCAAAATGTATATATCATTAAGCTATTCCGTATTACTGTATTAGATTGCTCCATAGATTGTAGATCCGCAAAGATATGTCTTTTTCATCATACCTTGCATATCAAAATAATAAGATAATAGGTTGTTGTTGAAATTTTTCTAGAAAGAATTTATTTTAAGATGGTGAAGTGTGAACTATGGAGTATGATTTTTAGAGGTTTTTAAAACAACATTATTGAAATAAAATGCTATGATCACTTTATTTAAAAACGGAATTGAAGTTATTATAACTAAAATTATTACTATCGTTATTACACTTAAAAGCTACATTTTTATAAGAATAGTATGACAAAAATATAACTTCCAGCTTTTGATTGGACAAAAATAAAACTAAACTTCGTTTTAAGACATAAATGAGACTAAAACAATATCAAAAGTCCAAAATAACCCTAACTATTCCCTGTTATCGTTCACCATTTCGACCTCTTTCCACTTGGTTGGAAATTTCAGTATCTTGCTGGATCTCGAGAGTAGTCCATGGCCACGGATTTGGCAAGACCAGGAGAGAAGCCCATCGCTGCCCACCTCATCGGCTCACCCTTCCATCATTGCTCATACCGGCCTTCATCGTCGTTCGGTTGATCCGTTGCGATTCCATCGCTGCTACCTCACTGACCCACCCTTTAACTTCTGTCGCTATTCATCGCCTCCGTCACCGCCAACTGAATCCATCTTCACCTTCTTCGTCATCATAGTCCAATCGCATCCTCACCATCGTATAGGTTATACTTCTTCATCTCACTTCTTTTCCTTCATTCTTCTTCTCTTTCAACGATGGTAATTAATGGCTAGATACCTGCAGCGATGGCATGTTTCGATTTTGGATCTAGGTTTTCCATGATGCGAGGGACCAAATCAATGACATTGGGAGGGGTTGTGGGCTACGATGTTGGGAAGGGAGGTTTGGGGAGTCAAGGTGGGGATAATTGTGATTTGGAGTTGGAGAGGGTGGGCAATGGCGGTCCATGGGAAGAGAAGCAGTTGTGCCTAGGAAGCGGGTCATAGGTCAATGTGGGTTGGGTAGTAAGTCACTGTCCCTTGGTCGGTGGTGATCATTGTCAGGTGGTGGCCGACGAAGGCACTGGGTTGGTGGAGGTCACTGTGACGACAGTGACTGGACATAACGTCGCAGACGGACGGTGATGACTAGTTGTGGCGTTGGAGACATTTGAAAATTGGTCATTGGGAACAACGGAGTCACTGTGGTGGTGGTGGTCATTGTGGCTGCCGGTAGTAACTGACTGGGTGGTCAATGGACGGGCAGACATTGGTCACTAGGTCACTAGATAGGTGGATGTTGGTCACTGATCGGCGGGCGAGCATGTAACTGGGATTTTAGTAACACTGACATTGGTCACTACAGTATTGACCCAACTGGGTTTCGTAAGGGTGTGTTGGTCCTTTTAGCCCCTATTAGTCACATTTTTTGAATTTAAAAAGGGCATTTTTTATCCATGAGTTGATTTTTAGTATATTGATGTCCTAATCCCTTTTTATAAATACTCCCTCCGTCCCATATTTATCTTCACAAGTACAATTGACACACATATTAAGATAGTGAAAAATGTATGGTAGAGAGTTGTGTAGAGGAAAGAGAAATGTGTAAGAATGTGTAAAAATGGTTGTGAACCACAAATTCTTTACTAAAAAGAGAAAGATGAGATAAATTTGGGACAGACCGAAAAGGAAAGTAGGAAGATAATTCCGGGACGGAGGGAGTAACATTTATTTTAGTCATATAAATGACATTATTTTATTTTTCAGACACAAAAAAAGATTATGACTATGTTTAGAAGAGAAGATAGATAGCTAAATATATTAACAAATTTAGAGACTATTGTTTGAAACTAAATAAAAGTTAATGAATTTAGAGGCCATTTGGCAACCCTCATTTTCGACTTATTAGCCAATTTTTTTACCAAACACGTAAATTTTGCTTTCGAGCGCTGAATTGTGTAATAAGCCAAAAAGTAAGGTTGGAGTTACTTTTCTGGCTGTATTGGCTGAAGTTACTGTAGATGACCATTTTAGCTATTTTTACATATAATTTTTTTCTTTATTTTATTAATAAAATATATTTTAAAAATATTTTTTTCTTGTATCAGCAGAATCAGGCAATGTAGCCAGTTCAGCCAGAACTTCATAAATTTCAGCAGAATCAGCCAGAATAGCCGATTTTCATGCTCCCAAACGGGCTCTTAGAGTGTTGATGGAATGAAGTAGATTTGTTTGATCGCTCAATTACTTGAAAAATGAAAAATAACAATAAAAACAAACGTTTCAATAAAATTAAGATAAATTGAGTAAGAGCAGAGATAATGTTGATGTAAGTTTACGGTAAGTTACAACTTACAAGATCAAATTGAAGTGCCTAAATCAAATCAAATTCAACTTTTCATCCAAAAAACATTGTCTATTGCGGTCTGGGCTAGATTCTACATTTCTACGGGATGGGGGGGTTCTGGTCGGGCTTCAAAGCGCTGGAATGGCAGATTATCTCCACGGGAAGCCGAATTGGTCGGTATAAGAGAAAAGCTCTTACTTGGATTAAACAACAAGATTGGGGTTTTGTGGATGTCGAGTCCGACGCTTCTCGTGTTATTTATGAAATTCGGGAGGGCTCTAGTGTTTCGGCATCAGGTTTGGTTGCTGGTGATATTCGAGATATTCGTTTTAGGTTTACGAACATCTGTTTTCACTATATTTGGCGATCTGCGAACAAAGTGGCCAATGAGTCTGCTAAAACCGCTTGTTCTACGTCTGATGGCCAGTTGGGGTTGTGTTATCCTCCTAATTTTATCATTGATGTATTGAATGATGATTTTATTAATGATGATCAAATTTTGAATTCATATTAAATTGGACACGGACCCACGAACATAGCTTTTGTAATCAATTAAATTTACAAAGTTAAAGCATTTAGAGCCCATTTAGTAACACTGTTTTTCGGTTTATTAGATTTATAAGTCAACTTTTTCATCAAACACGTAACTTTTGGTTTTAAATCGTGTAATAAAAGAAAAAGTAAGATTCAAATTACTATACAAGATCATTGTAACTATTTTTACATATAATGTTTTCTTTATTTTATTAATAAAATATTTGGACTTTGACAAATGCAAAATACTTGTACTCAAGTCGAAACCTCAACGCACAATTAATCTCCGTGAAGTCATCTGTACTTCGAAGGATGGAGAGGTTTTGGAGAATGCTATATTCGCGGCCTCGCGTGAATACAATTAAATATCTACGGGTTGGAGAATTAGGGGGCGTTTGGAAGTTATTCTGCTTCTGCTTCTTTTTTTAAAGAAGAAGCAGAATCAGTTTTCAGAAGCTGCTACCCTCCAGCTTCTAAAAAAACTGATTATAGGAGTAAATTAGAGCAGCAGAATCACTTCTGCATTTTCACCCAAACATTCCAACTTCTTCTGCTCCTTCATTAATGAAAATGTATTTTGGGTTATTCCTTGATTGTATTGTTGTCATTAATACTCCGTATTTGTTAGTGGGATGGAATGTAACTAGCCTTTTGAAAGTGTTTAAAAAAATAAAACTGACGGCTGTGGGATTTGAACCCACGCCCTTTCGGACCAGAGCCTAAATCTGGCGCCTTAGACCACTCGGCCAAACCGTCCTTGTGTGAAGATGATTACCATAAACTTATTTAGAACAATCCGTAGTCCTGCGGTATTAAGCATCAAAACTTTAAAAATGAATTTTTTTTACTCTCAAGTTCTTGCATCGGGGACCAGTTGAGGGTATTAAAAATAGAAAAAAATATTGATATTGATATGTAAATTATGCGCATGAATTCTTTATGATTTAAAAAATGCGTCAAACTTCACGTGTTACGATTTTTCATGTGCAAATGCTCCTCCAAGCACAAATTTAATAATTTAGAAATCATTTGTCTTGATATTATGAATGGATATGAGAGTGAATTTGTCGAAATCTCTAAATTATACACACTATCACTTTGCTTTTATTTGGAAATTAAATTTGTTCGTGGTGAGGCATTGATCCATATTCCAATAAATTGATATTTGTGAAGTGCTCAATTGCTCAAGTTTTTATTATTATTGAATGACGTTTTAAACTTTGTTTTTAATTTTGATGATTTTTTCCCCTATAATTTGTCCACCCTTTCTCTTTTGAAGTTTGATCATTTATGTTCACCCGTTAATTACTGATCCACTCAATAACCCGCTCATGATGCACGGTTGAATGTGGATAAATTTTTTATTGGGTGATGGAAGTGTTGGTGAAATATGAATAATTGACGGGTGGATGCGGGTGAGCCTTCATCCTGTGTAAATCCGATTTGTTGTCACTCCTAAATATTGAATGCATGTAATGTTTTAGTGTATGAAATTACTAATCCTCATTCTTAAAGCATCAGAATGTGTATTTATAGTGCTACCTCCGTCGTGGCTTAAGGTTTTAATTAATTGCAAAATGAAACAATTACTTAGATAACAATCAAATAAAGTAATTTGAGTATATTTTGAGACACAATTGTGATGAGTATGTATTATACTGAATCATTGATTACGACCATACATCCCGTAACACTATATATTCATAAAATCATTTATTTTCCTAACAACATCTAAAGCACATGCAAGTATCGCTCTTTCTTACACGTACGTTAGATCACTAAGGTGTTTTTACAGATTTGGAAAAGTGCTATAGACTACAGCTCTGAGGTAGTTATCTTCCGCCATGATGAGAAATTCATATGGGATTTTCATTTATGAAACTCTATTTACTTGTGCCCCAATAGCACCATCTCCGACCTTTAGCATCCATGCATCAGATTTTTCAAGGTCACTAGACTCTTTTCATTAAGAGCACTTGAAAGTAATATCATATTATTCGTGAGATGTCAAAGTACACGCTCCTCATTCCAACGTATCATCATGATATTTATGGCACTTATAATAGCCTTAAAGTCATTTACTAAGGACTTTATGAAGGAAATAATATCCTTGGCAAAAGTAACGTGCATATGGGAGTTGCAGGAGATGGTCTTTAAAATTCTTTCTTTTCCAAGTTAATGATTAGCCTCCTATATAAATCTGCGATTCCAATCGAAATAATTCCCAAGCCTACTAAAATCCTAGCAAAAATTCCCATTCAGTTTACTTGGTAATTGGAGCAGTATTCGAAGTAAACCAGAAAGAATAGTTGTAGTTTTGGTTTGAACGTAGTCTTATCCTGGGAGTAAGTAGCCTGTCCGTGCTCATCAGCCCCAGTGGTACGGGGGTTATCTTTCTTCAAAGCCTAGTCCGATATATATCTCAGGCGATTCTACATACCTCGATAAGTTTACACTTTCATTCCATTTTATTCTTGGGGTAATTTGAGTTTGCACCCCATTTTATTGTCTACATTAGACTTTGCACCCTATTTTTAAAAAACTTTGTATTTGCACCCTCACCCCATATGAAAAGACAAAATTGCATACCCCTCGATCAAGAATATGTTGAAGGCCAATAGAATTGCTAATGAAGGGGCATTTTTGTCTTTTCATATGGGGTTGGGGTGCAAATACAAACGTTTTTAAAAACAATGTGCAAAGTCTAATTTGGACAATAAAATGGGGTGCAAACTTAAATTACCCCTTTATTCTTTTCTAATTATTGTTTTTTTCTGGTACTGTCAATTTTGCTATTTGGTTTCTCACTATCATTAATATCATTTTAAAATAATTATATTAATATCAAACATATTTTAATATATATAACACTTAATTTTACTAATATTCAATTTCGGGTTTAAACTTGCTATCTGTTGGGACAAATGAAACAACAATCTTGAAGAAAGATAAAGAATAGGAAGTTTTAACCATGTCTTCCGACAATGCTAATAACAATGTGAAAGTTGACACTTCTGTTGAAACAGAAACAGTCATGATCATACCCGATGACAAAATTGGGTCTTCCTCCGAAAATGGGGGTAGTATTGTGTTAGGAATATTTTATGGTGTCCAATCTAATTAAATATTTTTGTATTCGAGTAGTTATTAATTAAACGTGTAATACGGGCCACAAATGTGTATCAGCCCGTTAGCTTCCTTATAACCCGTAAGTTAGCCAACTTCTCCTATAAAAGGAGGCTAACTTACGGGAACCCTAACTAACGATCGAGGCTTTAGAGAATAGAGGCGCAGAGATAGAGAGATTAGGGTTTGCCGCTGATCTCCTTCTCCATGGAGGGCAGCGGCCAATTTACACGGCATACCAGATTCGTTTGATTATCTCCATATCTTTATATCTGCTTCTTTATCACTGTTATGTTTGTTGTTTGTTAGTATACTGGGTTATCAATTGGTATCAGAGCAGGAAAAACAAGCAGAATTTAAAGAAGATAACGTAGCCCCCCGGGGTCGTTTAGGCGCCCGTTATCATCACTATAGAGTTAAACTCTGATGTGATGGCCTGAAAATGATGGTGATTCTTATGTTGCATCACCAGGACTTCCTTCCAATCATTGGTCTACATCTGTAATAGATGAGCCCTATGGAAGTTCTCGCGGGTCTTGAAGACTTGCAACTGACTCAAAAAGTGCGTCTGTGTCCTAGAAAATTTCAAAACATTTGGGAGTGAGTAACTAGACACGACGTGATCAATGAAAGTTCAGTGGCATGGGGCTGAGGCGACTGTAGTCAGTATCACTTGCTTCAGAAGGAGATAGTAATGAGAGATGAGGTTCCCCGTGAAATGTGATTAAACACCTGTCTGTTGGGAGACAAGTGAGTGGTCTTGGGTAGGGTTAAGCATGCACTGTTGGACAAGATGCAGTGACTTCTACCCGGGATCTAATTAAATCAGTCCTGAACCTATGGGGACTGCCCAGAGTATTTGAGTGCCTAGGATAAATGTTCAATTCATAGCAGGCAATTGAGGTAGCAGATTCATCATTGATTATTGTATTCTTGCTCACTTGAGCCTTCTGCTACCTAATGCTCATAATGTTCACTCACTCACTCGCTCACTCACTCACTTACGCTCGGCTTTGTCCCTTGGGTAGGCTTAGTTGGGTTTACTAAGCCATAGGAACATGTTCTCTCATTACTTTCTTGATTTTCTCTCTGTACTCCCCCTCAACTGGAGCACTCAGTATGCTTTGTCATTGTTGGGCACCGGGGAGGATAACATTGAACACTCTCCCGAAAATGTTACATCCGTTGAGAGATTCCTTGCTTTGTCGGTGTAAGGCGCTAGGAGGAGAAAACTGAAACTCCCCCTCAGAATGTGCAAGGGTTGATTGCTCAGAGCTCGTCATACCCGCCATGTGTGTGGAGCAATCTGAACATGTACCACACATGACGGTTTCCCTTAGCTCATCATTTGGAATTTCAGCACGTTTGAGGATCACACAATGTTGATGAGTTAGGGGAGGCTTCAGCAGTTGATTGTTGATTGTTGTAAGATGACCGTTGACGCGAGGTTGATTGAATTATCTACAATTTTCAGACCTTTACAGTGCAGCTAAGACCTTAGGTTTGACTTTGAAAGAATTTGATTAGATTTGTCTAAGTTTTGACCTGGACATCGGTGATTTACAAAGTTTGTCGGAAAACTAACGTTTTGACCCTCAAAGACTGCGAGTGAGGGCGCGTGAGAATGGATTCTGGAGTAAAGCCCCAGAATAGATGTAGATCTTTTCGTTAGCATTACAACAAAAAAAGTTTGCTAAAATGGGATTAGCGAGTCAAAAGTTAGGGCCAAAACAGTGCGGTGTCGCAGAAAATCTCTAATTTTGAGTTTTTGAGGAAATTCTTCGA